AAATTACTTTTCAATATCATTGCCAAAGCAACCCTTGTCGATCAAAGTTATCTTCTTATTCTTTCATGTTATTATTATGAAATATCCAAATATTTGTTGAATTTTTATCTCAAAAAAGAAATATTAAGAAATTATTGCTTTTCATACTTTGTTTCCAATGTAACAAGACAGCAAGTTTTTGACTTTTACACACAGTCATAGTCACTTTTCTGAATTGCTGTTTACATATAATAATGGGACTCTGAACATGTTCATACATGTTATTTTTCGAAATTTAGAGCACGTTGCCATGCTAACCATGTAACATAGCAACACATTTTTACCTCATATGAATTAAAGGTATCAAATTCTTGACAACACATATAGCAAGTTGAAAGAAATGCTGTGACTATGTATTTCCCTGCTCATATATAAGAGCCAAAGTAATTACAGAGAAGGAATCTTTCAAACACTCAAAGAAATCAAGTGGTTGTTATGTTCTCAAAATCGTTCCCATGGGAATTTTATATAACAAAAATACTTTTATGAGGTCCATAATACATTTTTAAATTTGCTAAACTGCAATTTTAGGACTAAATTTGAAATATTTCTTACCACTGTACATGAATATCTGCCAAAATTAAGCTTTGCTGCCTTGTTGCTATGGAGAATTTGCTGTTGCCATGGAGATAAGTAACTGTACAATAATCTTTAATTTGCCAAGAAGTCTGATTTATGTCCTATCACTTTAAAAATTATTTCAAGTACTCTAAGATAACAATTTATAAAATTTTTCTTCGTAACACTGCACAATTATTCACTGTTTATTTATCAAAACATCCATTATTGTTGCTAGGCAACGGACACTAATTTGCAAAAAACCCACGTGTTTGAATTCAGATTTCATTAGAGACATTCCTCTACTTTTATGTGAAATACATGTAAAAGCTGAAGTTTTTAGATGCAAATTTTAATTTGACCTTGAATATTGCCAAAATCAAGAAAAATGCTGAATCAGCAAAAAATGCAAAACATGTATATCTTCCAATGTCTATTACAGAACTAACTTTAAATCTTATATCTTCGTGTTGGGTTGTTAAAACACTTAAATTGTGTATCTTCTTTATGTTAGTGAAGAGGAATAATTTTATTCATATTTACATTTTATTTCAAGTCTTGAAAGATGAATGACTTTTTGTCCTACCACATGGAAAAATGGACCGGTTGCTAGGGATATTTGTTTGACCAGGTTTCCATAGTAACCATGAACTTAAACATTTTCTATTTTACATACATGGATCATAGTGCAAGAGAAATCTATGTGTGGAAAATCATCAAATTCTGAGAACCTTCATGTATCACTTTTATACCCATTTTGTCTGATTTTCATATGGACTTGTACTTAATTGCTGCACATATTTCTTCGAAACTGATCTCTCAATGTAACTCATCGTACACAGCATCCAAATAACATTCTTTTCTGAGGCTGTCGCCTGTTTTAGAACCAAGATTTTGAAAAATGGGTAAAGAAATCTTCTAAAGTTAAATTACAGTCAACATGGTTTGTCTTTTTTGTTTTGAAAAGTTTAAAAAATTGTTTTGGAATTTGTTTCTTCAAAAATGTTAGCATATCTCCCTCATGACGTTTGTACTGGCATTTAAGTTTATTTTCAATTTTTTTATAGGTCAATTTAGCCTCTGAAAGAACTTCTCCATTTTCTGGTGTTTTCTTTGCATTGAACTCATTTAATTTTTGTTTATACTCGTTAAAGAGATGTTTACATTTATCATTGAACCACGGCTTATCCTCGTAGTTTTTAGATAGTTTTGTACTTATGCCTTGATAAGTTTAGATTCGCGTACATCACAGAAAGGGAGTACGCAAGAATTTATTAAATCACAAAAGCTATCTATACAAGAATTGACACTCTCGATAGAAGTGAAATCTACGTCTACGATACGTTGAAGTTCGTGTATGTTATTGTTTAAACACTCTTAACAAGGCTAGAATTTTCGTCCTTCCACTTGACTGACCTAGCAGTCACTCTACCGCAACAATTGTTTACTACGTGCAAATAATTTTGAATGGCCAAATCTCTCAATGAAACACTAAAGGAAACGGGTGAATGATCAGAAAAGACAGTAAAATTACCAGATTTGAACTTACGTATACTGGATATTTGGTTATTTTCAGTCAATACATAATCAATCAAACTAAAACCTCTTTTACTATAAAAAGTTAAGTTACCTGATTCATCACCAATTATTCTGCCGTTAACAATTCGAAAGCCAGTAGATTTACAAAAATCTAAAAGTTGTCTACCCAAGCCATTTATACATTTATCCATATTATTACGCTTTTTCGGTACCTGATCTTCATCATAATTATCTCTTAAAAAATCTGAATGAATACCATCTCGTAATAATTTATCGTGTCTAAAAAAGTCGTCATACTCTGCATTAAAGTCTCCAAAAATATGCACAGGACCATCGTTCTTAAATTCACTATATGATTCCTCAAGTAATTGAAAAAAATTGACATCGAGTTTTTTGTAAACAGAACTATTTTCGGATGGAATATAACAAAAAATAAAAATATTGGGGTTTAACATTCAACTTTTAAGCAAATTACAGGTTTTTAACCAATTTTATCCTTGGACTTAAAAAACTTTTATAAAAAATTACAATTCCTCCACCTTTTATTTCTCTGGGAACAGTGAAATGTTCATATCCTGCTTAGTGAAATTCATCGTCTGAATTAATCCAACATTCGCAAAGACAAATGACGTCGTAGTTAGCAATCAGTGAAACGAATTCAGAATAAGACAATTTTTCAGATAGAGATCTTGCTATATTCCAAGATAACACTGAGATTTCACTGCGGCCACTCTCATCGCGTCCCTAAGCGTTGCCACTAGAAGCTGGATATGCTGGAGGCTCATCAGCTATGACTTCCATCTCGTCTGGGTATTCATCTGACTCGTTAGGGACGTAAAGCTTGCCGTTTACAAGAAGTTTGTCTCTAACAAGTTTCACACGTTTACCCTCTTCACGGAGTCGGTGCATAATGAGGACTACTGTAGATATCTTCTTCGCTCACTCATATCTGCTGGTAATTGCTCCTGAATACCGTAAGGCTTGTTTTTTAACATGAATCCACGATCCTTCACCATAGCACGATCTTGAAATTAAATGAATCTGGCGACTATTGGTCTCCTCCCGGCATTTATGTACTTTCCAAAACGATGTACGCTCCCGAATTCAACATGATGGTCGAGTTTTCAATTGAACGCCACTGTAGCTCTGATACTTTCTCTTGTAATCCCTCCCGTGAACGTCTGAGGTCCTCCACGTTTCTGTGTAAACTCTCGATCATCTTTTCTTCTCTCGATAATTCACGGCCAACTCCTATATTTACTGAAGTTTTCTTCTTCTCAAATTCGTCGACTTTATATATGTGACAAAAAGCTTAAAGATTCTGTATGGTCGTTCGATGTCGATTCAAGGACCTCGACTCTTTTTTCCAAGTTAGAAACTTGTACCACCAACTTTTCAATGACTTTTTCAATATTGTCTAACTTGTCTAGTTTGTTTAACACAAAGTCTAACTTCTGGTTTGTCTCCATTACAGTACCAATTAGTTTCTCAACGCTCTTGGGGCTCGTGTCCGAGTCGGTAAGCCGACATTTTGGTGTTGACGTTATAGGTGGATCTTCCTGCTGTTTTCCGCCCTCGCCGCCTCTCGTGTCATAATTTGGGGACCCGTATAGAACGTTATTTGCAGCTGAGATCAAATGACTTAAAAAGTTTTGTTTTGTCCATCAGAAGCGTTGTTTACACTCACATTACTCATATCACTCAAATTATTGTTACCACTCACCTCAGGGCTTGAATTTGCTTTCCTTTTTTTTTTTTTTTTTTTTTGTTTCTGGACTTCCCCATGTTTTTCACTAGTTATAATTACACTTTAAAAAAAAAAAGAGACAAGCCATTTTTTTCATACATCACGATAATTAAAACTGAAATTTTAGATATCAATCAATTCAAACTTTAATAGTTCTACAGATAACCACGTCTTTAAAACTGCATTGGCTCTGCGAGTCATAACATCACACGTGTATCGTTACATATGAATCATTTATTTTTGTAATTTTTAAAAATTAGCCATAGATTCAACTAAATATAATTTTATCACACTAAATTGCTTAAATATGTTTTTTCTATTCACAAGATGCTTTAGTTATCAGTCCAGTAATTGCAAATATATAGATATATGTAAGCGTGATTGTTTTTTCTTCAGTTGTTTTTTTCTAAATGATAAGTTTGTTTTATATGATTTAGTGTGGTCTTATACCTCTTGAAAAGAATCCCTCCCCTACACTTCCTTGGAAACCTCGGATCCTCTACTGTAGCCTCAACATATTCCCGATATTTCTGATCTGACTCTAAACTATATGAGGATGCATATAATAATTATTATTATAGCTTTGCTATTAAACTCACTGACAATAAAGGTGCTTTCTTGTTTGGTTCATACTTCTTATGAAGAGATAGTGAAAGTTGATATTTGACACAAAGACTGCTGATGACTTACAGATGTGTCATGATCTTGACGCGATATCATTTTGGAAAGTCGCTGGCAGTAAAGATGCAAGAGTTTCCGAAGAGAAATATTGCAAGTTCATATTCCATACATTTATTACCAACATGTATGTCCCGAAGATGTGTAATGACCTTGATCTAAGTTCATTTTTGGAAGAAAAAAGATTTAAATTCGTGCCCAGTTTAGAATTCCGTCATGTCATTTATAATATAAATTAAGAATATATTGGAAGTGATACTTCCAAGAAAGCTTATCATATAACAGGAAGCTACGTGATACCTTAAAATTATTATGGATAATCAATATTAAGAAAAAAAATTTAGGGAGTATTTATTTTTCAAGAAAAATAACAATGAAAAAATGCAAAATCATCGTCTACTTCATAATTGCAGGCAGATATCATAAGTACACACCGGACATGAGAATTCTGCTGTACTGTTTACTGTTGGTTGACGAGTACACAGTGAATATCGAAGAAAATTCCTACAGCACTACACTAGACAAGCTCAGAGATAGATACTTTAAAGAAGAAAAATTGTCAAATGAAAAAAGATTTGCAGATCTCCCTGAAGAAATAATACAGAGAAAGGACAATAATGTAATGTTTAAATCAGACGATATCAGACATGACGTCATGTACGCTTTTGTCGCGGAGTGTCTGGTGAAGGACATTGATCTGGAATTCTTTCTTAACACAGCATCAGGTCACGTGATTACAGAATACTGCAGGTCCTGGGATTATGAGAAGAGTGAGGGAGAGAGATGTCTGTATGTGCCGAAGATGCCAAAGATGCTTAAATCCGTCATAGACAGACTTCAATTAGACATTATCAGATACTGCTCTATATCAGACAGGGGGATTCGTGACAAGATCACTAAACGTTGTGAGTATGATGTTAAAGGTGTACTTATTATTGTTATTCGTTAAAAGTTTATAATAATACTATAACTAACGTGATATGATATAACAAAAAATATTTATTCTCATTTATACAGTAATATTTCTTTAACAAAGCAAGAGTTGTAACTTACGCTTTTACATTTACATTGTTTGTGCATGTAGGATCAAATCATGCAATTGTGTTGTATTTGAGAATATTGTCAAGCATTGTCATAAATATTACTCGTAGGACAAATACAATAATTTCTTTAAATTTGTAAAATTTGAATGTCTTTCTTGAAATCAATAATTAAGGTTTTGGGAATATATGCATGTATGTGTAATTTATTTATTTAATTAGGGTGAATTCGCCATGCATCGGACACCCTCGCACTTCAACAAGTTCTAGCGATATCGCTACCGACCGAATACTATCAAAAAGGAGCTTAACATGTAGTATGGGATTAAAAGATAAAATTTTGACACAAATATATGCTATTTATTGAGAAAATATCACTAAAAACTAATTTTTTCTTACTGAGTCAGATTTAACCATGGATCGGACAACATTCACCATGAATCAGACGAACGGTATTTGAACCGGAAAAATGTAATAGCTTTATCTCGGTGCTTAAGAATTAGTGATCTTGAAATAGTTTTATCTTTTATTTAAAAATTAACCTTCTAGTTAAATTTGATTGACTACATCGATCCAAAAATGAAGAGAGTTTTTAGTCACATCACATCGCATAAGAAAGGGTTTCGAATGCTACTTATATGTCAACTTGTACGTTGATCTCGTGGGTTATCATACTCTGGTTTGTAAAAATAAATTGAGTCCAATTCTAGACGTCACGTATCGATAACTTGTATATTCACAGAAAATGTAGAGTTTTAAACTTCTATTTCCTGTCAGCTGGGTTTAATATTAAAATGGAAAGTGATTACCCATGCATCGGAAAGTGTCCGATGCATGGTTATTAATTTGTGTCCGATGTACGGTGAAATGAACATACTATTAAAAACAACTCTTAAAAAAATTATACAAAAATTGTAGTGAAATTTCTTTAAAAGTTCTGTGAAATTACCAATCATTAACAAATTTCACCTAAGTCAGACTCTTTCCTTTGCAGTCTAATTAAAGAACGACAACTCTAAAAATTGCAAAATCATAAAATTCTGGTTACTCCCCTTTGATGATGTAAAATATGACGTAAATTCAAGGCCATTCTCGGGGTATTTTTATCGCAACATGATAATAAAAATCGGCATCAATAAAAAGTTTAAATCTTCAGCTTCAAGACAGAAACATGTAAAAACATGGGAACACTCAGAATTAAGAGCCTTCTATACACTGAACACTAGAGAGTTCTGATTTTGTGGTATTTTTATGCAGATAGAGTGATCTGCCCTTTGATCAAGAATAAAATAAATTGAAAAGTACATTTTATTACTTAATTTGTGATCAAATCAAGCATTCATAACACTTTAATAGGCCATGATGAATAGATCTATTAGAACATTTCAATTGCAGGTATTCTGCCCACTTAAGTAAACAACAGTGATTTATGTTCATCAGTACTTCTTCGTCTTTGAACATTTTTCCTGGGGGATAATGCAAGGCACCCTATGTTGAAAATGTAATAGATAAGCTCAATACTTAAACCTTCACACACTGTAATTTTCTCAGTGTCAAAAAAATATTTTCCTCTAGTGTATAGAGGGTCCTTAAAGAAAGTTTATGCTTGAAGTTGTCCGAAGCAAGGTATGTGTCCGATGCATGATTAACTCACCCTACATGTACATAATCATGCACGCATATGCAAATCTTAAACTTTGCTTGGACCACAAATACATTATTTTTATATAACGCTATCCATGGTTTAAAATCCTGAAATAAATTCATTATAAATTCTTGCTATATTTTGAAAATGTACTGCCTTTAGCAAAACGTCAGTTTACGAGAGTTGCCCATAAAAATCGTTGACACTAAGGTTTTGTTTTTCAAACAATGGTCTAAAATATACGTATTAATTACAACAGTGAAATAATGAAATTTATTTATTGAATAAAAGTGATATTCTGTCACAGTTTGAAAAGATATCATAGTGATATCCTGTCACAGTGTAACAGAATATCAGAACTGCTACAAAACTCTCTATTTTCCTTCTCTTCACAAAAAATATATATAAAAAACCTCCCTGGTCTGTTTTAATATAAAGAGAGTAAAGAAACCATCCTGAAAGAGGAACGCCCACAGTTCTTCAAATATGCTTTTGAAATCACTGTTTACAATGTTTTTCAATTTCTTTAAACTATGATGTTCAAACGCTCAACTATGACGTCATGTAGCCTATTACACCTGTGTTATAAAAAGACACAGGGAGAAGGAAAATCAACGAAAATGTAATAAAAATATACTTATTTAAACCAATTATATATAAATTTTGAGAATCCAAGTCAGAATGATTTGGTTTAGTTTGTTTAATTTTAATACTTTTGTTAAAATCGACTGTTTTTAAAAGCTGAAGTCATTGGGCACGGCCCAGGATTAAAATGATATTTAATTTGAAATAACCTTTTCCGATTAAATTAACTATTTCTTCCTAAAACATGTCAGAATTTAATAAAATGTAGCAAGTTTCAAATAAAATGTTTGTCGCCATTTTCTGACATTTTTAGTATCGCTAATTTGACAATTTGTGAATAAAAAGTTAGGAAAAATGTTTCAAAAATCGTATGGAACAGCGTCTTATCATTAAACTATGTTTCAATGTGGTTGAAACAATTTCAGAGACAAACCAATTATTCAAGCAACTGGAAATTATTAGAATTATGTTAAGTTCTTTGATTTCATATTGTTATATACGATTTTTCAACGGTATGCATATTTGAGAAACACTACAAGAAGTCGAAAGCGACTTATATTTGATGAAAACAGGCTATCCCTATTCATGACATTGACAATGTAATAAATCTAGCACAGTGTTTGATTGGGCGCTGCAGCCAATGTGCACGAAGGGTTTATACTGATAAGGATCATAAATCAATGTACGTTTTTTTTTTGTTTTGTTTTTTTTTTTACTTTTTAAGATTTACTCTGTAGTGTTCTATATGTAAATATAATCGCACACACTTAGCAGTGAGGTATTCTAAATAAAAAAAAGTGTGTGTTCTGCGAAAAATTGGTAAAAATTCAAAATCCATGTTTTGATGTAATCATGAAACTAGCTAAACATAAGACTGGGCCGTCCAGCTTGCTTGTATTATTAATATCTTTCATAAAATAGTGTGCATTGCTTTAATTTTAAAAATTTGCTTAATCATGATCTATATCAAAATATAAATACATGTAGTTACATTTGGCAGTGTGGACGTAATTGAGAAAAAATATAGCATTTTTTTACGAACTTTATGGACAACCTCTGTATATTTTTCTTATTTTCCCCTTTTTAACAAATATTCGATTTGAATGATCAATCTGTAGTGGGAGTCCCTGCAGAAATACTAGAGTGGGACAAGGAAGCAAGAAAGCGGTATGTCGAGTACGCTAAGAGAGGAACACTGACAGTCCACCACGCCCGTGGGATGATTGTTGGATGTGCTGGGGCGGGGAAAACAACGCTACTTAAACGTCTGCTTCGGTGTAGTGAGGAGGAGATAAGAAATGTGAAATCAACAGAAGGACTGAAAGTACACCAGGAAATATTTAAGATTTGTGATAAAACAAACACACTGGAAGGTAAAAAAGATTGACCCATTGCTATTTAAGGTATTTCCATCCCCAGCGATTTTTTTCTACCCATTGGGATAGGTACCGGTTCAATTGGGAAAAATTAGCAACAAAGTAGAACAAAGGAGTAAGGAGAATTTTCCGTCATTTAAACGTATTTTGCGTTAATTCCGTTCTCACCTATTACTCCATGTTTCAAAGAATAAACAACAATTATTGTTTTTCATATCAATGTCCCTTGTTTTCGCTTTTTCATGATAAAATTTGTCAAAATACGACACTACGCTGTTTACACCACAGGTTCCACCATCCATTACGACTGAGGCCTGTTCAAAAGAGCAAACGTTCGCGAGCGCTTGCCAAAATTCCTTATCCCTCCAACAGAAATGTTTGCGAGCGCTCGCTCTGCTGAACAGGCCTCTGATCTCTACTTTCGATTTAAGCGGAAGTGAAACAATTAGTCAATTTGTACAATGTTTCATATGAAAAGAAAAACGATGTCATCGTAGTCTGTTGCTTGGCAGTTGAATTGGGAATTTTTAGTCTCAAAATTGGGAGAAATTAACGTTTTTGGCAATGGGAATGGTACCGTTTATCGGTACCAGATATATAAGGAAAAAAAAACGCTGATCCCCCTATGATGTCATAGGTCTTTTGCAAAAAAAAAAAAAAAAAAAAAAAAATGTTATTTATCTAAATTGATACCCAACAGAAAAATATCTTTTGGAGTAATGCTCTTCCTATAGGTGTAATGTAAATTATTGTTAAGTAAAATAATTAAAAAATGCATATTTTCTCTATTTAATCAATTATTCAGTTTTTAAAAAAATGTTGCAAAGGGCAATAACTCCTTCTAATCTATCTACATTCAGGCATTTTCTCTATTTTAATGTAAAATGGACTTCTTGATATTAATAGTTCAAACATATTTGTAAGGTAGCAATTATTTTGAAACTTTTAGCATCAGAATAATGTATTTGAACCAGTTTTACATAATTTTTATTATACTGTACACATTGTACTCATTTTTATGCTGACAAACACCTCTGTTTAATATTTTCTTACATCTTAAAAATATGGCAACCTATACATTTTTTGTAATTATTAGTTAATTTAAACTATATTCTGTGAAAATAAATGCATTTTTCCTACTTTGAACCATTAAAATTGTGAAGGTGGAAATACCTTAATGGAAAAAAAATAATTTTTTTTGTTTACATATACAACATGTGCGTATTTGCAGGGAAAATCTCAACAGCCGATGAGATTTGAAAAAAATCGAAATTTCCCCCTCATATTGCATTAAATGGACGATTGAGCATGTGCATTCCGAAAAGTGATGTTCTTTGTAAAATATCGTTAAGCACGCAATATTGATATGAAACAAGTTTTCTATAGCCTAAAAAATTGTCAGAGTTATTCAAATAAAAAAAATAATTAATTTCAAACTGATCTGAATCTCAAGTGAAAGTAGGGTCTATAGCTACTTATTTTAGACTTGATGCGCTATACCTCTTCATTGCTGACGCATATGTGATTAAACAGTGTAAAAGAGCTCAGGGTAAAATTTAAATATTTGGAGTTGTTTTGGGGAGGGGGTTGACTCTATTATCTCTTCCTCTGACATAATGTATAGGAGCAAACTTAAAATAATGATCAATTTTATGACATGTTATGCTTATTTACATTCCTAGATCTGGTTTCGGGGACAACAACGTATATAACTCGAAAAAGGACTCTACATTAAGTAGCTTAAAATGTTTCTAAATATATGCTTTTAGGAGCGGAAAATGGGTTTCCACATACAAAAGAAAAAACTCAACTTGAAAGACTTTTTTAAATGTTATATTGTGTGTTTTGGTTGTTAAAAATGTTCCATAAACATATATATTTTTTGTTGCGAAAGTTATTAGAACTGCCCTTGTATAGATGAAAAGTGACTCCTGTAGAATATTGACCAGGGGGTCAAGTTTCTACGTAGAAAAATGACCCTGATTAAATTTTTCTACGCCAAGTAGGGTCATTTTTCGACCGTAGAAAACGCTTCCAGGCCTGTGATTCTACGACTCATTTCACTTTGAAAAATGACCCCCATAGAAATCTGACTCCTTACCTTTTTACTTTATTATATACAATGTGTAATATAACCTTTAAAAATGGGATGTGATTCACGTTAATTCCGGGCAGGGGCCTAATGCGTCTCCTGATTTGTATACATGTATACTTTTTAATGTATTATAACGCCACTTCTTAGCACTAGCATCATATACAATGTATATGGTAAGATATATTTTGCTTGCATCCCAGTAAAATATATTATTGAGGAGTAAAAATGCAAGATTATATGTACCTACCCCCCCCCCCCCCAACTTTTATCAGTTTCTAGATACACCAATCCATTGAATCATAAACATATTGTATTATTATTTTTAGACAAAAAAATTCCCTCTTTTAGAATCATTCATCCTTACTTATTATATGAATATTAATACCTCTGCTACGAAGGAAATGGGGGGGGGTTTACTGTTTTACCCCTGCGTGCCTCTTTGTGTATGGATAGGTGTCTGTTTGTCTGTGCGATTTTTTTTCGTCTCAGTTGATGCTAGAAATTTTAACACACTTTTTGTTTTGGCATGTCATATAGTGGAAATTCACTTTTGTACAAATCTTGTGCTTCTGCCTGTGCCGGGGATGATCACTAGAAAGCATTGGCCTATAGATTTCTTGTTTCACATGCAACTTTTATACTTACATGTACAATGCATTTATTGTCTGTGGAATTATACTGTTATGGAAGAAATAAAAGACGAATGTATCTAAATAACGTTAACTGTGATACACTATATAATATATATTGTTTGTATCAGGATCGCTTCATGTACATTTAATGCTACAAACAATAACTCAAACTTGGTTAAAAGGAAATTCCTTTTGTTTTTGTCACAAATTAAAACCCGTGCATACGACAACTGATAAGATATTGGCATATCCTTGCAAAGGAATAGAGACTGTGAAAAAAATCTTCTCATAATTACCTATTGTGTCACACACACACCCTCACACACACACATACACACATTGATTAATATTCTCACCTCCTTGTACACATATGCATGATGTACAGTTGAACTTCAGTATCTCGAACACCGATACCTCGAATACCATGGATATGTCGAAGAGATTTGGAAGTCCCAACCGCATATTCCTTTAGTATTTTACCCTTGTCATCTCGAATCCTCGGATATCACGAAGTTTTTTTCTCTGTCCCATGGAGTTTGAGATACATGTAACTATAAGGAGGATTGTCGATAAAAGAAAAAAAATTAACTTCTAATCTGAAAATCCTTTTATATATTTTGACCTCGTATCAAACAGCAAGAACGCTTAGATTGTGTATACAAGCACCTGAAGAATGGATAGAGTAAACACCCCCCCCCCCCCCTCCCGCTTTTCAGGCGGAAAACATATTAGACATCGAAATATAGGTATGATAGATAATGGATTCATGTATGTATAATGATAAGTTTTTGTATCAAGTAAGAGTTCTCAGAAGCTTGGGGAGGGGGATGGGTGGGTAGGGGGCTGGGTTTGTGTATAGGAAAGACTTAATTGTCAGAAGAGAAATTTCTTTTCTATTGGCTAGCAAATCTTATGAGTATGTTACAACTCTGTAACCCCTCCCCTCAAAACTCGCCACTATAGATAGTCTGAAACGAATTGGTACTTGATTCTAACACAATGTGTTACAATATTTTTTGTAAAGTTCTATATTTTTTGCACACGCAACTTCAAATGTATTTATATTGCTAAGCATAGTACTTAAGAAAAAAATAATATGCAAAATAGACTGAGAAGAGGTTTTTTTTTTTCATAATGCAACATTTGGTTTTTCTTTCTATTGGTAAAAATTAACTAGAAAGGGGAAAGACGCTACTTTAACTGTTTATAGACTTGTGTCAAATCTTGGTATACCAAGCACCTCTTTTTAACGAGGTTCGTTCCTGAGCTTTTGAGCAGATTTTTGTCTAGACCTCTATTTAAAAAATCTGCATAATGTTTTAGTTCTTACAATAAATGTTGATCCTGCAATGCTAATTAAACTATATTTAATTAAAACCCCATGATTAAATTCCACACCGAAAGCATTCAGTGAGGAACTATATTTTGTGGTGGAAGTTTTTATAGAAGAAAATGATCAATTATTCTCTTTCGAAATATTTATAGTACTGTTAAGTTGGGATTCATACTTTTACATGCAGGCTGGACACAGATATTTTTTGCAGTGAAGTGTTTTATGCTGGTCCTAATAAATATATTAAATTAACCGACATGAATTCTATCATCATTTTGGCCAAATATAGCAAATACATTGTGAAGGACCTAGGGAATAAAAAGCCCATTTTAGGCAAAAAATTAACACTATTTTAGGTTTATCTAAAAATTAACATCACAGACCCCCACTTTTAATTTTGTTTTCTGAATATACAAGATAATGTAACCAGGTTTATGTCTTATTAAAATATTAAATGCAATTTGCGCTGCGTATATGTGAGTATGTGGTATGAGAGACTGTGTGTGTATGTGGTATTGTTATATTTAGGCACTGGACAGACAGTCACATGACTTTACAATTCTATTCACTAAATTCCCGCTTTTTTTACTAACAACGGACACCCCTTGCTTAGACATTGAATTGGGTAGACGTACTTCGAAACAGACAGCAATATTTGTTACTTTGCTTGTGTGTCCCGGTAAGAACTTTTAGTTATAAAATGTTTTCCTAAGTAAAGTCTAATATGTTTTAAATGTCTATGTTTTATGTCGTCTATATGTTGTGTGTAGTTGTAATATTTCAGGTTTTTCACCGTTTTGTTTACCACTCTTATTAAATATTTGAACCAGAACCAGTCTCAGTTTTTCTGATATATCTACCACTGGCTACAAATGGCGCCCACGTTGGGAAAGCACAGCATATTATTTAGTGGTTTAACCCCTCAAAGCAATCCCTTTAAAGTCAGTCAAGAAGGGAACACATCCCATTTTTATGAGGTATCACATTCTCAAATACCGAGATTTCCTCAGTTTTCTGGAGACGACTCCCACAAAAGGTGATGTCACATATAGAGAATGGAGATATGAGGTACAGTGTCTTCTGAATGATCCTGAAATAAAAGAGATAGTAATAATTCAGAGTATCAGAAGATCTCTTAGGGTACAGCTAAATCCATGCTAATTCCTCTTGGAGAGAAAGCAAAAGTTAAAGAAATACTTGACAAACTAAGTATTTTGTTTGGTGAAGTGTCAAATAATGCTATGATCATGCAAGAGTTCTTTAATGGATATCAATTTCAGGGAGAGTGTGAAATATCTTTTGGGTGTAGATTAGAAAGTATGTTACAAAATGCAATTGACAATGGTTATTTGAACAAATCGTTCAAAGAATGATTTACTCCGCCATAAATTCTCGACTTCTTTGAGTTCCGAGCGGTTAAAATCACAAACGCGTCACATGCTTAAGAACTATGATCTGCTTCTACTTGAAATAAGAAGGGTTGAGAAAGAAATTTTGATCAACAGAAAGACTACAGAAAAGGTAAATAAGAGTATTG